GACCCGAGTTCGCAAGCAAAATGATGTCTTTCACTTTTTTGCAGGTTCTCAAATTCAATGCCATAAGAAGGTCATTCATCGCCGATCGCCGAACTGTTAAACATAGATGGGGAACGGACTATTTAGGGGTCGAAGATTGGATACTATAGAAAAAAGTTGGATACTATAGAAATAAAATCGAAAACCTTAATACTTCTAGGTAATTGAATAGGACTCAAAGGGGTCATTTCACATATGCAGCTAGTTTTTCAAGTTGGAAAGGTTGGGTGGAACAAAACGAATTGTGCTCATGGGGAATCTTGCTCTAGCGCTTAATGTTTATTCGTCAATTTTCTAATGAAAGTGATGCCAGAAGGATGTTAAGATGCTGCAAGAGAAAAGTCTGAGGAGAATCTTGTACATGGGTAGCTGTTTCAATCACTTTTCTATCAGGTTTTATTAAAGCAACAACCCCAGATCAAATTGGTGTGGTAACAGCGGTCGATAATGAAATTGTGGCTAATGAGTCGACTGAAAATGAAAAAAAGGAAGCAAAGCAAACCGCCGATGAAACCCTTAAACAGGACTCCCTCTTCTCCTTTGAAATGAGGAGGGCGTGTCGGACGAGTTGTCTGAACTTGCTTGCTCCATGGCTCCACTAACCCGCGCGTATTTGAATTAGCCGCTACGTCGTAATCCACGTTGCGTATTATGGGGTGTGCGCGAGGTATCTCGTCCATTAGCTCACCTTGTAAAGCTTTAGCACCATAGTCAAGCATTTTCAACCGCGACGACGGCTCAGATATGATGGTCGCGTGCTACTCTGTCGTACCCACATACTGCCCACATAATACGTAGATTGTTCGACACGACCCCCTGGGGTTGAATCTCCCAACGACCGCAAAGGACATGCGTCTACCCATCAATTAGTTAATAAATATTGTTGATTATTTAATAATATTTGTAATTTACCCAGAACATACCTCTGTGCTTGTCCGGAGCGCACTCTGTCACAAAGAGAGAAACCACAACTAGCTTGATCGGGATCGACAAGCCAAGGAGTAGTTGTCCCACAATGAAAAGTTCGGCACTGCCAAACCACCCACCAAAGCCTTGAAAGGCGCATGACGACAGACCCAGAATGCACCTTAAATGTGAAGTGATTTGAGGCCCTGCAACTAGTAGTCGGATATTACCTTAGCTGGACTGAAACGAATTTCCGGCCCTGGCTGTCCATTAGTGGAAGGATCCATACCACACTTGATAAGACCCCAATCGCCATACTCATTGAAACCAAAGTTGGAATCGATGACAGCCTGAACACAATTATGGTGTTTCCTAGATTTCAATGGACTACGTTTAACGAAGTGCCTAATTTTCGTTTAATTTTGAGTCACTGGATGATGTCCAAACTCGCCAGGACACGCCGGCATGTAGTTTATTGCGCCCTCTTTGGTCAGTGCTCGAGTAAACGGGCAATTCTGTATACTAAAACTGAACAGCCATTTCGGAGCTGCCTTTACCTGCTCGTGACATCAGGTCCTAATTCATACGGCTGTGATTGTTCCTCTCCCCATTGTCCATTGTGCGAGTGTAGCGAGCGAAAATTTAAGCCTTATCAAATTAGCTTGCCTAGAATCTTTTGATTGAACCAGTGCTAAGGTAAAATACTCTTTAGATTGTAAAAGTGTTCCAGGAAGCAGTGTGAACCGTCCGTTGTGCAAAGATCAAAGAGAGGGTCACATTTGGCCAAGATATGGGAGGGGGAGGCAATGGTAAGTCCAGTTATCATCCACAATTCGGAACTGAAGGTCCAATGTATAACAAAGTGGCAAAAGAGTACAGCCTCTCAAATACCATTGCGAGTACCAACCGCATATGCGTACATAGCGCATTTCAGAAGATTTCGCAGTGGAACACGTCATATCCACGGAGCACGAGCAAGCAAATTCTTTCAGAGAAATTCCGATGCTTTCATACCTATCAAAATGGAAGAAAGTCCAGCAAATTCGGAAAAGCGACTTTTAGATCCTAATAGAAATCTCACTGAAAAAAAAACATTTTGTTTTGAAGCTTTCAGAAGAAATCAGCACATGTTAAGATCCTAGTGGTGTTTGCCACTTCTCACTGTCCCCGTTTTGAGGAAGCGCGTGGGCGTTTGAAGGTTGAAAACCCGCGTCTTGGGAAAATGGTCCAAAAAATCACAAAAGGGGTAAAGTTTCATGTTGCTCTCCTTCCGGTCCTCTAAGCGGAGAAAAAAAGCGCGCGTCCACTGTCCATCACCCTCTTTCCATGTCGACGACGTCCCGTTCAGGTGGGCACGAAGATACAGGGTGGCGAAAAATTACGTGCGATGGCACCCAAAATGAAGCGCTGAACGGATCTTATCACATATCAAACGGGCAGTTTCCCACCGTTCAAGCAAAGCAAGGTCGAGGGGAAAACTATAAGAAATCGCGGGAATTTTTTCGGGGTGCGGCGGTCCTAGGACGCCCTGTGGTTTCCCAAAAGGAAAGTTCACCGTTTTAGTGCCTTAAACTCTCAAATCATCTCTACTCTTTTCTAACAGCTACTAGTAACATCCGTAAAATGAGAATTACCCACAGGAAATTACAATGATTTTTAAAGGCAAAGTTCGGGCTCAGACCCACTTAATGAGCCTTTACGGTGGCTAGAAGCGCTAGGTACGCAAGTGTAGAGGTCGCGTCACTTCCCTACTTCGAAAAGCGTTACTTAGACGCTAGGCGCTAAGAACTTTGACACGCTCCACCTGTTGCGACACGCTCCGCCCACCGCTCGATATCTTGTCTGCGTCGCTAACTTGATCTGCTATGCTCTCTCTACTCGTACTTCTCTAGCGCTCTCCGCGCTCACATTATCTCTCATCTCCCTGCCGCCTTTTGAGCGCTTTCAAAGCATTTAGGCAAAGCTGCTCATTTTTCCTGTGTATTTCACGATTCTTTTCCTTCATTAATTTAAATGGAATCTTGCCTTCAAGGCTGTAATCAATGCTGCATGGCAATTCCTCCATGCCAATGGCGTACGTGGTTGGGTTGTAGTAATGGGATATGCGACTCGTAAGCTGATCTTTCCAGTTTAGGAGAGGAAAAGTTTTTCTCCACTCGCAACGAGAATTTTCACCCCAACGACAAAATTTGGTGTGACTAAAATCTCACACAGTCGAGAGTAGCTGGATAATTGACTCACACAGTAGAATCAAGTTGTATGCCGTAGTGTCGAATGAACGTCTGATTGTAGAGGTTCGACAGTGGTCCAGGAAGTGCTGAGAAGAGCATCATCTGCAGGTCGGTGAACGCCCCGAAGAACGTGAAAGCGAACAGTGTTCTCGCAAACTTCAGAGTGATCATTCTAAACATGAAGCTGAAAAGTTGGCGACAGTAGCTGTCTCGGCCATAGTTGGCGAATGAAGCGCCTAACATACGTATCGATTGAGGGAGCATTTGAGTAGGCAGTTCAGTGGGTAGGCAGAAAAGATGCCGATGTGATTGATTGATAACTCTGAGCGTTTCGGGGGGAAACCTCCAATTTCACCTATTCGTGCTAGTCGCCAACAGTGAACAAAGCTGGCTGGTTGTGCCGCCTTGAAAGGCTGCGCGCGGTCGCGGAGCATTTGGTGTGTCAAAAAAAAGAAAATGAAACAAATTCTACGAAAATCAGAAAGAATCATAACAGGAAGATTATTTCCTCATTTGCAGCAGTACGAAACAGTGGAGTGTCCAGAAACATTCGAGATAAATTCAGCATTGCTTTCTCGAAAGAAAATATTCAGCTCAAACGATATTGATGGTATAGTAACTTATTATTATAGAACAAGAAGAGCACAATTCAGAACTTATTTTGAAGGTAAACAGTACAGTCAGTTAGAAGTGTAGAGTCGAAAGACTGAGACGAATACTTGTAAGTACAGGGTAGAACATAAATATGAGACAATCTCGAGCTTCAAGTAGGCAACAATGAGCAGGACTTTTGACTAAACCATCAGGACCCTCACTGTCTTTTACATATATTCTATGGATTCAGGTTGCATGTTCGTTTTTTAGTGGAAGACTCTAGTTTATCTGAAACTAACAGGATTTCCAGCCTAATGCACCCCCGACCGAGCTGCTCTGCTGCATCCGAAAGATGTGTCGCCAGACCGTCATCCGACCCTAACGTGAGGCACACTTAATACTCTCCCTCTTAGCGTTGAAGTGGTCACGGAAGCTAACGGGTGATCAAGACTATTGCCGAAAAGGGATCTCAGCACATTTCGGTGGGCAACGTGAAAAAATTTCCAGAGATTTGAACGTACGAAGATGACGTTGGTAAGTTGTGTGTGGGAAACACAGAATGCATCTTTGCAAGGTACAAAAACGACAAAACCTGGTTGGGAGGGACAGAAAGCGATAAAAATTTCCAACTGCTTATGGCGCGGGCCGCGAACGGACACATACAGGGAGGGGGTCGAAAACATCATTCTCCCTTTACATTCGGAAGGGAATTAATCGCACTTCGCTAAATGCAAACCGCATGCTCCTCACCGAAAATTGAAGAGCACACCACTCCTTCAAAATACTTTAATTGTTTGAGGTCAGCGAGATCCTCGACGGATAACGGACTATTACGACGTTCTTGAACGCTGGTCGGAAGTGGTCTAGCAAAGTCCGCTACTCTCCTGTAAAGCCATCCATCAGTAACCGATTAAAGAAGTTGTGAAGCAGCTTCAGGCTGAAGCAGTTGTGGTGGGTCCTCCTTGAGCTTGATGGCGATTCCACATGACTTCATATTCTTAACAAGGTGAGGACAGTGAGAAGGGCCTCGAGGGGGAAATCTAAAAGAATTCCTTGCCGTAAAACCTCCACTGATGGGTGCATCTGTACGGCGAAGATTGCTGTGTACCATTGGCGAAATGACTTTTTTTGGCTTCCTTACCCTGTATAAAGACCTACTGAAAGTTCTCTGAAACTTTTCACGGAAGATTAGCTCATAATCCAATAAAATTCCCTAATATTCACCAAAGCCTCCGAAGAGACTAACGAAGCAGGGATGACGCCATAATGTCGCGATAATGCATCCTAGCTCAAAGAACGTGAGCAGCTGACAATTCCCCCTCTCAACTGGTTTTCGTGCGCGTAGAAGTAAAAACTTAAAATCGTCGTGCACGGAATATTGTTGCAGTCCTTCTCATATAAATGTATCATGACCACTTCTTGCAGCAGATGAAATTCCATGCATGACAACTCAATTTCGGAACGAAGCAAGCCTCTGAACACCACACGTTGTGGACCCTTGGGCGGAGCCAAGGGGGCGCATGGAACGAAGCACATGGTGAGGCGGCCTTGTACCAGGGGACGCATCAATGGAATTTAATGAACTCGAATTCGTAGAGGAGATAAAATGACCGATAAGCATGGCACAATAAAAGGTAAAATGCTTTGAAAAGCTGGGTAAAAGGGCTAAAAGAGTTCCTATCGACGGCTCTCAAAAGACTAAGTCCACTTTGTCGCAGCGGGGCATCGGCATTGACATGAGTAGTCAGGTTCGTTTAATTTTCTGGATTGTCTATCAAACAATCGAGTTATGTTCCCAGCTCTTATAGAGAAACAGTACCAGTAAGTTTGGATGTCTCTCAAAACAGCCAGTTACGGCGGAGACTGAGCGCCCGACAGAAAGGGCTGGATCACTACCCTGGTGGCTAACTCACGTACTGAAATTTGGGAGTTCTGATCTCGGCCTCAGTTGCCTGAATTCGCGCCAAAAGAAGAGTCAGAGGAAGACAGGCCAATCAAATCTCCTATTTTCAATGTGGCGGATTATTCAATGTAAACGTGATTGGAGGTGAAGAACTGCACGACGCAATGGGATTCGAACACAGAGCTAAAATCGGATCTTCAAAAAGTATGTGATGAAATTTCGAATGATGAGCAAGGCCGTGTCTGTAGGCCCGTTTAGAGGGAGTTTACAAATTTACTACGCACGAGATTGTCCTACTGAGTATAGCATACGTTATACGAAGAAGCCTTCTCCCTGCAAGGACGCAGTCATGAAGTGGAAGATTGCAGCATCCTGAAAAAAGTACTCGCATTGTGACAGCCACGAGACCACATATGAAACTAATGCCTTTAGAGACCAGCATGATAGCCGGCACGATACGTTTGCGCAAGATTACTGATACTAGAGCATCTGTAAACCACGCTTCCCTCTGAATGAGCTTTCAAATGAATCAGCGAATTAGAAGGGCGCCCGAGGCGTGGCGCGCACCAAGGCAAGGGATGTAGTGCAAGCGCATGCTCGGAGCATTCTAGCACATCCTAAATTAAACATGAAATTGGTCTTGCGAGATGTTACGGGCAGTGGAACTTAAGAAAACTCGCGCTTTCGAGAAAGTGGCTCAAAAAATACCCCTCAAATTTGAGGGTTACAACGGGACTAAATTTTGAACTACTGATTTTTCAGGAACGCTTGGGTACTCGTTAGAAAGCTTGAATCCTGGAGTGTGTTATATCGCGTTCAGCTTCCTAAATGAATGACTTTTAAGGAAGTTATGATCGTTTGAAGGTAAAAAAGTCGCGTTTTCAAAGAAATGGTTACACCAGCCCTTTATAATGGTTACAACGGGACTAAATTTTGAACTACTGATTTTGCAGGAACGTTTGGGTACTCGTTAGAAAGCTTGAATCCTGGAGTGTGTTATATCGCGTTCAGCTTCCTAAATGAATGACTTTGAAGGAAGTTATGATCGTTTGAAAGCAAAAAAGTCGGTTTGCACCAGAGAAAGTCACAACGTCCAAAATTTTTAATAAATTAACTTTCGAAGAATTTATACCCATGATTGGCTAGAGAATAATTTGAATTTTTTAAATCAAATCACTATGGCGCTGAAGCTCGAACATGAAGGAAGTTATAGCCCTAGAAAGAGGAGTGTAAAAATTCTCTTGCAATCTAATTTTTTGGCTTATAACTTTTTCATTGTGAAGGGTTTGAGAAAAAATGGGCACTCCTTGAGAAGGATGAACCACGCTGATCCAACATCCGCCGATATCTTCCGGACTACCTGAAATTAAACAAAAAAAACTCCTAAACTTTTCACATTCCCGTTCGACGGCTCCTCACCTTGAGCAGATGCGCTCCACCGTCAGCAAGGCAAAAGGGCGCCAACCAGCAAATTTGAAATCACATCGCATGATTGAAAGAGCATGGTTTCGTCTGACTTATTGTCTTTACAATCTTTCTGAACAGTTTGCACACATCTTCAAGCGGGCAAAAAATTTATTGATAGATGACTCATTTTTGGCGAAGTTTTCATTCAACGGCGGTCCACAATGTGTTAAGGCAACTGATTCAGTTTGGCGATCTCTTAGTTTAGTAACCCCTCGGGGTACCCTTCGGGTACCTTCGAGTGCATCTCATTATTCGGAAGCTGATTTGACTTGAGTAGCAATAAATATTAAGGTCAATCTGTCTTTACACAAGTGTAACGTACAAGGGGGGGTCGTATCAAATCAACCATGAAGGGGGGGGTCGTAAAAAATTTTCGAAGAGTCACAACGATAGGGTTGACCCTGCTTTGAACGCGTAGCAGCCCTTTCGATTTTCGAATTTTTTTTTTTACCAAAACAAAAGCAATATTTCTGTTCTTTTCATTCTTATCGTGGATGATGAGTCTCAAGCCAGTGATTTATGGCTGAAATAGAATCATGATTTTTCCGTGAAGGATTCCTTCAAGATACGGCTAACTATGGCTATAGTTGATATCCAGTTTCGGCTCATTTTTGGAAATGATCTGCAGTTATTTTGGCGTCATATCTACGGCCCATTTTGTGCATAGGCATAGCTGCAGTTGATTTGTGGTCAACCGGAACCGCAAGCAATGATAAGGAGTTCGAAGTATCAACGTGTAAGGCTTCAATCACACTAGAGAGATATTATAACTTTCGGGATCCTAAGTAAAGTCAATACTTATTTGGGTTAAGTCTGGTAGGCATAGACCAAGTAGGCAATACGAACATAACATCTGAAAATGACCAGAAACTCAGATAAGAACGTTGTTTTCTCAAAAACGCCTTTCAGCTGAGCTCTTATCGCACTGCAAATGCTCGCGTGTTGGAGTCAGAACTGCTGAACCATCCAGAACGCCCTCTTTTTTCGGAGAGATAGCATTCAGAAAAGTGGAATCTATTCCCCAGGCAATCAACTACGTAATCGCAGGTTGTCGAAAGGCTGTGTCATGCGATGGTGTTTCCTATCTGTTCGTCATGTTACCGACAATTCGCAATACTAACTATTAGTGAACATCATATTGAGAGCGGTGAGGTGTGTAGACCTGTCGGTTGTTTATTGACGATATGGAGTGGTCTTAATGACAGTG